AGTGTAAAAAAAAATAGAGTAACCATATGCATAAACAAAACCTTTTGAATTAAAAAATATTCAGACGATAGGATAAATACAATACCTCTTCATCATGGAATACGCACTCTGATCTATGATTGTTTCAGCACCTCTTCTCTCTGTAATCTCATAGGCACGCACCACTCTAACCTTGATTGCATTCCTTCTGTTTCTAGGAGAAATTTAACGTCCAACAATATCGATGGAAGTTGAAGCCATTCGTATTTGGTGTAAGTAGGAGTCTACAAACGCAGAATTTTGTTGGAAGTTTACCGCTATATGTTTAGCATAATGAAGTGTTTAAATAGGAAAAAGAATCCATCGTTTGACAAAATTAGTATTCGAATAAATAAGAAAAAGAATCAATTTTTACGCAAATAAATTAAGGAATCCATCTTTATGCCAATAAGTTAGAAAAGGAATCTTTAAAAATTACTATTACGCAAAATTATTATTTTGCGTGTGTAGAATTCGAATTATTATTATTGATGTAAATAATAATTAATAAATTATTATTTTCTTATAACATTGCGCAAAATTTTCAAGGAATTTTTTCATTTATTACGCAGAATTTGTTTCCATTATTCTCACAATTATAATGGTTTAATTATTCTCATAATTTGGTAACCATTTTCTATTTTAAGTACATATTGAATTTAATTTATGGTAACAATTCATTAGATATTAGTTAATTTCCATATAAAATTTTATTACTAATTAAGCTTTATTAATTTTTTACCAATTAATATTCATATTAATTTTGGCGGAAAAGTAGAAGATGAGGATTTTACTTTTATTAATAGTATAGATAGATATAGATTAAATTCAACTGAAATTTTATGATGAAATAATTATCAAATTGGTTGAATAATCAAGTCACATAAAACTTGTCTATAGGCTAAAATTTTATTTAATAAGATTCATTACAATAATTATGATAAAACTTAAGAAATCATTTTTTTAAATTTTTTTTTTTTTAAGTCAAGTTCAGTGGCTCTGCAATTTTGACAGGGATAAAAGTGTAAATTAAAATTTACAATTTTATTGTCAGAATTGTAAAATTACTTTTTTTTTTTTTATGTTTTATTATTATTATTATTATTATTATTATTATTATTATTATTATTATTATTATTATAAATTTAAAATAAATTATTATACGATTCTAGTAATATTTATTTTACTTCAGTGTATTTATGCAAGAAAATATACAAGGTTAATTAATTTGAGATGAGGAATGTATTCAAAATCATGCAAGGAATTGCAAATAATTGAATAATACGAATTATTTTATTTCAAATTCTGCAAAATAATTTGACAAAATGTGAAATGTTTTATTATTTTTTAATATTCTAAATTAATTTGTATTTTGATAAAAGCAATTAATTGTAAAATGGAATTTTTTTATTGATGAAATAAAATAATTTTTATTTGTTAATATGATAATAAGATTACTTTTCAAAGTTTTTTTGAAAGGTTAGTTCTCAAACTGTAAAGTGTAAACCCGAGGGGTTCACGTATTTTTTAACCTTACTGGACGTTTAGTTGAAGTGAATTTAAATTCCCTTCCCACTTAATTCTCACATAATTCCAAAGGCCATAAAATCCTCTTGTTTGGTTGAAAGGAATTGCAATTCCTCCATTTTCATGGATTTAAAATCCCATGTCCCACGCCCTGCGATTTTAATTCCTAAGATTTTAATTTATGAAGAAAAAAAAGATAGTGATGAGTCAAAATTACTCCTTTCCTTTTTAACCTAAAATTAATGCATGACAATAACAATGGACATTTTGGACTTTATATTACTTATTCCCTTTCAATTCCCATGTATACAAAACATTGGAATTGAAATTCCCAATAATTCTATTCCTGTAAACCAAACACTGGAATTTAAATTCCCACTTTATTCCCAGTAATTCATCTCCCATGGAATTGCAATTCTTTTCCCACGTAATTTTCCCTCTCCAACCAAACCCCCCGTTAAAGTTTTGGTAAATGGGTAAATCAAACATGCGTCTTTTAACACTCTAACATTGTCTGAAGTTGGAGTAAATACCACATATGGTCCTTCGAGTTTGATGGCATCACCACCAATTGGTTCCTAACTTCCGTAATTACCATTCGTCATTCTCTCAGTCCCGAAAAGTGACCTGCTACCATCCTTCCGTTACTTCCTTGGCTTTGAATTTTGATTGCTGTGCTTGACTAACTTTCCAGTTCCCCCACGTGGAGATGCTTGCTGCTGCTAGAGCTCCGGCCGCTTCCGCGGCTTTCGCGCCCCCAGTGAATACGCTCTTTCCGGCGGGATTAGGTATTCCTGCTCCGTCGCCGCCGCAGCAGATTCATCGTCACCATCCGTGCCGATGCAGTTTTGCTCATTCATGGAGGAAAACAGAGTAGCTATCTTGAATCAAATACATCTGGCACATAATGAAGCATACACTTTATCCTTGTTTCATTTCTTTCTCCTTTTCATGTATATAGTCAGCCCTACCTCCTGAGCAGCTGGCTTGGTGCGGAATGGATAGTGTATTACTTTACTGGGATCACATGTTTTTAATGATGGGTCCTTATGGCGATCCAGTACGCTACATCTACGACGAACAAGTTCTGCTGATCCCAGAATGTGATGGAGTTAGAATACTATCCAACACAAGTATGGAGTTTCTGCATAGACTACCAGATTCCACTATCTCTATCTTTCAAATTGGGAGTACGCTGCCTGCTGCTTTACTTTATGATGCCTTGGAGGAGTGCCAAGGTATACCCTCTTGATGGGAACAAAAGGCATTAATTTGTGTGGCATCAATGATTTTCATGTATTTTCACTTTTACAGTTTCACATGATAGATTAACTAACTATATGTGTATCTCATAACTCATGCATGTCTGTGGCTGAGGTTTAGGTTTAATTCTACATGAATGTATGACATGTTAAATAACATGTTGCTATAATAGGTGACGCCTCTGTTTCAGAAATTTAATAATATTTGGTCATGTTGCATTGAGATCTTAACATTGTTGGGCTCTGAATTAAAAACATATATAGGTGATGACTTTTAGTTAAATGCATGTTGCAGGTAGATGGTCAAGCATTTTGCAGGTTGGTATACTTGAATTATCATAATCTCTTCTTAATAAAATTATGGACTTTATAAAAATGAATCACGTGCCCTTATTTACATTGTTCTATTTCTGCCTCTTTCGCAGGTTTGTATAATGAACACATCTGTTATTAATAGTTATTGCATAGTCTCTGTGTTTTTATGTGTTCCTGAAGCTTCATCTCGGTCAAGTACTGATCTTTGAAGTCAGTTTGTCTAATGAGGGATAAGCTTCAAGCTCCAGTGTTCTCGCCTCGTTATCCAAGCAACTGCAAGCGGTTTCCTGGCTGACAAATTCAAACGGGAGAAGCTTCTTCGCTTCGTCTCTGTTTTCTACTCCCTGCGTGCTGCCGCCGGCCGCTGGGAAGATCTCTGAGAAGTTTGGACGGAAAACTGGATGCGATTGTGAATCTTTCACAGCGTACAGATCTCTCCCTTCTGCGTTGTAGTCGCCGGCGGCGGCTCTGGTAGCCTGGTGGTGGTGCTGTATTCTCCGCTGAAGGTGAGAAGGACCTCCTGGGCGGTGATTATGGCCTGGTCCAGATTTACGACGATGGTCGCTCGCCGCCAAGGACAGTGGAAGGGTAGGACATGAGTGGGTCGAGTATCCGGAGATCGCGCGCAGGGAGTCCCGTCCGACGCATGATATCGTGTTTTCAATTTATTTGATCAAATACTTTCTCTTTCTCACTTTCTATATTTACATGCCTCTAAATTTCTGGCCGCTAGTTGGCCTTTAGATGGCACAGCAATCAAGAAGGAAACCAAGGCAAATGACATTAAGACCTCGCATTTGACGGCTAAAACAGGAGGAATTAATGGAAGAGGAAAAAGACTATAATGTAAAGATAGAATTACTTATTTCTCATGTCCATTTTTGTGGACAAAAATATAAAAAACCAATTTGAGACTTGCTTTTGATGTTAGAAGTGATCAAATAAAAAACGCAAGTCTCACTTGGATTTTTTTTTTTTTTTTTTTTTAATTAGTTCTCCAGCGAAGGAGAAGGCAATGGTTGCCTTCTCCTTCGCTGGGGAAACCGGCGACCCAAATCGTGGCCTTCTCCTTCGCTGGAGAAGCCAGCGATTTGGGTCGCCGGTTTGTCCAGCGAAGGAGAAGGCAAACTGGAGAAAGGTGTCGCCGGCAGGCGATCAATTTTTTTATTTTTTTATTTTTAAAAAAAAAACAACACAAATGCAAGTGAAATTTGCGTTTTTGATTTGACCACTTCTGACATCAAACGCAAGTCCCAAACTCGTTTTTCATATTTTTGTCCACAAAAATAAACATTCACATTTTGGGATATAAGTAATTCTATCTTCACATTTTAGTCTTTTTCCCTTATTAGTGGTAGCAGGTCACTTTTTTGGGACTAGAAGGATGACAGATGGTAATTACAGAAGTTAAGGACTGATGTCATCAAACTCGAGGGACCATAGGTGGTATTTACTCTCTCTCTCTCTCTCTATATATATATATATATATATATATATATATATATATATATATACATATATGTGTATATGTATTAAAATTCCATATTTAATGCATAGACAATGACTTGTTTATTTTTTTCTCCCTTATTTTTATTTAATTATTCAAAAGTATAGATGTAAAAGAGTAATGCGTTTTATAAATGCAAAAGAATTTTATTCAAATAATATGATAACAAAAGTTGAGAAATAAACTAGTAGGATACCAGGATGTAAAAGTCTCCAAACAAATACCATCTTATATTATTATCTTGGTAAAATTTAAATCAGATCCGCACACTGTAATTGACAGACAGGTGGTTAACTTTACTAGCAGGGAGAAAACGTGGTAGAAGTTAGGCGGAGCCTAAAGGCTTTCCACTTATATAAACTACCAATACCAAAGCCTCAAGAAGTCACTCACCACCACACAGTTTAATTAAATACTTAAAGCTTCCCATCTTCTTCATCCTCAGGAAAAGATGGCTTCATCTCTTCGTTCATTTGCAGCTGCCTTTCTCTTTGTGATGCTGTTCATGGCCACTGGTATGCCTCCTTCCTCCTCCTTTCTTCTTACCTGAACTGACCCAAATTAAAACTCCCATTTTTGTTCTTTTATTTATTTTTGGGTGACGAGGTAAACTCGTAGTCACTATCTAAGAGTGTCCACGGGTAAATTCTGTCATGTGATCCTAGTTGACAAAGGACATCAAAAAAGTATACCTGTCTAATTAGTTAGTCATAACTCATAATTAACCAGCTCAAACAAAAAAAGTTAATAGCTAAGTTGTCTTTGTTGAGAGTTGAATCTGTAATCTTAGTTATTATCAAGTCAATTGCTTGACTAATTTGACTGGATCGGTTTACCCAGTTTTGTTCTTTCATGAATATACATAATATGAATGAATGTCTGTGCTACTTCCGGTACATAGTTTAAGTATGTGGTTGAAAAGTTGAGTGTGGCTATAATGATCCAGCAAATTAAATAAGCAAGTTTGAATCCTTAATGGGAAAGGACCAGATCTCAGCTTTAGGAGGACAAAAAACAATCATTCAACCTTGTCTCTAAGGCACATCCGGCTACCTTTTCTCACAATCCCATAACCCTACTAAATATTTTCATCAAAACTCATTATCATTATCCTTACCAAATATTTGATTCTCATTTCGATTATGAGCGGTCTCAACTCTTAGGTTTAAGGTTGTCTTCTAAACCTATGAATGTGTGTGATAATTGTGTGCAGAGCTGGGAAGAAACACAATAATGGTGGCAGAGGCAAGGATGTGCGAGTCGCTGAGCTCGAAGTTCAAGGGGCCATGTGCTCGGGATAGCAACTGCGCAACGGTTTGCCACTCGGAGGGGTTCTCCGGCGGCGACTGCAAAGGGTTGCGCCGCCGCTGCTTCTGCACTAAGCCTTGCTAATTCATCATCTATCCATATAGGCAGCAGCTGCGGCAGTGTGTGTATGTATGGTGTGTATTGCTAAATAAATGTTACAAATCCAACCATGTATGTGGATCAGTCTTAGCTTCTCTCTGCTTCCTAATAAACCTTAGAAAACCCAAACATGGAGTCTGCTGCTTTGCCAGCTCTCATGGTGTTTGGTCTCTTGCTTGCTAGCTGGTATTACATATTTACATGTATTCAGTTGTTTCATGTTTCGTACCTTTTCAGTTTTCTTGTCTGAAGTTATCAACTAATTTCTCTGTTTTTGTTTTTTTCATTATTAATATAATGGTGAAAAGTAGTCTAAGAAAACTATGTTGTCTTTTTTTTTTTTTTTTTTTTTTTTTTTTTTTTTTATTGAAACCAGAAAGCTATGTTGTCTACTCACCTAACTTCTAACACTGCGTAAAAATGTGTGTTGGTTTTATGGCAATGTGGTAGTCCATCTGCGGGTCAATATAATAACCGTGAAATAATGCAAAGAGAGGTAGAGATGAAAGTAACAAAGTTATTGCTAGAGAATTGAATGTTGAACTCCTTTCAATGTGTCCAGACTGGTATTTTTACAAGGTGTACATGCTTTGAGAAAAGGAAAGTGAGAGTTAATAAATGTGATATTATGAAAGTTTCCTAAGTTAAAAGATTTTTTTTCCTAATGATGAAAACAGAAATATGGCCTAAGATTAGGAGGAAATTTAGTCTATGAGAAATCTCTTCCCCCCACCCCCCCTAAAGATTCGGCACCTGGTTTGGTCCTGGACCTCAACGGCCTACGGAGGGGTTGGGCGACTGGGTTCGACCATGATGTCCCGGTTAGGGTCCTGACTGCCTGTTCCACTTGGTGCTCAGTCTACGCCCTGTGCTGATCGGTCGCGTATGATTTAAGGGCTACCTGTGCTTTACACACGCCTAAGTTTGGGGTCCCACCGATCATTCGGATAGGCTGCAAGTCCTGAGTGCGTGGGCATGTCCCAGACTGGGTACCCTACTCGGAAGTATCGATCAATGTGCATTAATATTATGATCGTCACCACTCAAAGTATAACAACATAATTTCAAAAAAAAAAAAAAGTCAAAATAAGCTATTGAACTTCTTGGGATCGGAACTAGTGAGTCATTGATGAACTAAAAAAAAAAGTGCACTCAAATTTGTTGCACACTAATATATCGGGTATAACTTATAGAGTTACAAGCTTGAATGTAGTCATTTTAGATCTTGAGTATTAGTTATTAACGGATACACTATCAAGCTGTCTGGTGTATATCCAAAATTAATAATAATTATGAAAATGATATGGTATTTTTTTTCCCTATTTTCAGCTATAGATCAATCTATACGGATGGATGAGATTATTCTACTATCGTTTATTTTTTAAAAAAATGAAAATACATATTCTCATATGATCATAATACATATAGTGTCTGTGTGGCAATCGCATGGATACATCTTGTACCCGATAACATCCAACAGGAAATGATGAAGGTTTTGAATTTATACAGGGTACTATGAACACATTGTCTCAATAGTTGAAATCATTCTTATGGGTTCCCCTGTCGTAATTAAAAAAATCATTTATTTTAAAGTCAAATATTAAAACAGAATCAAATAAGCAATATCACAAAAGAATATAGATACTAAAGAAGAAAATTTTGAAGAAGGATGTAGATCAAAGTTACTTTCAACAAAGATAAGTTATATGATAGCTACAAGACAGACAGATTTTGGTCACGGATTGGACCTAACCTAATCTACTGAATTCTGAAAAGTTGGTTTTGAGTTGAGAGAATGCCGAATTTAAATTGGCTACATGTCCACCTAATAAATTGAATATAATTAGAAAAATTTCTAGTACATGTACACCTATATTTTACGCTTTAATAGGAGGGATTTTGATAAGTTATTTTTTATGTGAATTTCAATAACATTTACATTAAAATTTTGTGTGTGGGAGTAAAAATTGAGGATATAAAACGAGAATATACATGATATTTTTTAATTAGAAATTAAAGAAAAGAGATAAAAGCAAAATTCATTAAATTATACAGTAGATCACTATCTAAATGGAATGGGCACGGAAATCTGACATCTGACAGCATTTAATCTTCTGTTCAATTTTGTTTCCCCCCTACACACACTGACACAGGTGGTTAGCTTTAAGGCTGAACTTATCTTTGTAAATATCTCCCACTTTTAAAAATGAGTCTCACTTTTACATCATTTTATTTACAAATCATCTACTATTCACACTATATTTTTGCAAATCTAATCAATCTTCAAAAGTGGGTCCTAATTTTGCATCATTTTAAAAAATTAATATTTTTTTCTTAATAAATATTATTTTGTCTTCAACATTATTTATTTATATCAATATATAAATTATATTTAAATATAACAAATTTGAAAATAACTAATTACGTATATATTTTTTTAATGAAAAAATTAAATGTATGTATTAATGAATTAATTTATGTATATTAATGAATGTACGTATATCAATCTTACAAAAAAAAAATTGTATGTATATCAACAAAAATTTTAGACACGTAATTTTAATGAATGAATGAAACGCAAAAACAATTGTATGATAAACAAATGAAGAAGTTTTTAGATGAGTAAGTATGATAAAATTAATTTGTATGCATTGTATTTCTAAATCAATGAAATGTTATGTACTCTTTTAAATATGTTATTTTATTAAAAAAATTATTACATATTAAATATATAAATAAATAAAAACTACGGCAAAACAAACTACACAAATAAAACAAAAAGAAAAAGTGGTTAAAAATAAACTAAATTAAACAAACAAATTAAAAATATAAAAATTAAAAAAAATTAAAAATAAAAAAGGTACAAAAATTTTTGTACGGTTACAAATTTGCTCCCATAGCAAATTTGCAATCCTAGTCACGATAAAAAAAAAATAAATAAAAAACATGTCAACTTTCCACATCAGCTTGCAAAGCCCCTCTTCACTGGGATAATCCCAGCCTAAGCATTCATTTTTTACCTTCAATTCTTGAAGCTGAGAGCATCCAGAATGGTAGATTCAGAGTATTTGATTGTCAAATCAATAAAAAAAAAGAGAAAAAATTCAAATTAATTTGTATTTGCAAGTGTGTATTACCTCGATGGTGACAAAAAAATAAAATAGATTCCAATTGGGAACAGATTTTGAATTGAGGCAAAAGAAGGAATAACTCCTTCAGTTTGCATTGTTATCTAAAAGTATAAAACTCCTTTCTGTTTGCTTTGTTATTGTTTACAAAAAGTCAAAGTCATTTTTCTGTTGATATTTGTGTTGTGATTAATAATGATTTTGTGTTGATTTACAAATGATTAATGGATAATGTAAAAATGATTACTAATTATTGGTTCATAAAAAATTACCGTTGAAGTTTTTTTTTTTTTGATACTGCATACATCGAAATTATCTCATTAACTCAGTTAAGCGATGGATTTCGCCGTAATCATTGTCAAAAATACGATATGTGAATGACCATGGATAAATCTTCTCAACGTTACACGATATAGCAATATCGTCGAATAGATCTATTTTTTATATGCAAAGAGTTGAGTTAAACTTTTACGGAATGAGAAATATTCAAACAAATTTGTGAGGAGGAAATCGAAGGAATGAATAATGGTTGTGAAAACGGGCAGAGGTATTTATAGAATAAAACATGGCTTAAGCATTTCATTGTACACAGACCAATTGACATTTTTGGCCTCCCAATTATCATTTAAAAATTAAATGTAAAATATTAAAGAATTGTGACTGCATTATTTCTTTTTGGTAGACGAATTGCCTTTTCGAAATTGATTCGAAGATTTAATAAATCGTATTGTCTATTCTCAAAGTTTTAAAAAATCTGTAGTGTATAGTGTATCCAAAGATTTATCGAATATAGAGATGTGTTCAAAGGTTTGCTGAGAAAAGCTGAGCCATAACACAGTTAGACTAGACTAAAGCTTCCCTATTCGTAGGCTGCAAGATTCCATACTCTGCACACACGGTATTGAATTCAATTTTCAGTGTCCAACATAACAAGTACTTTGATATGCCTTGTTATACTTTAAAGTTTACACATAACAAGTAATTTAAAATGCCTTGTTATATATATATATATATATATATATATATATATATATATATATATATATATAGTGAGCAAAATATCGGTTAATCGATAACCGAACCATTCGAAAAAATCGGTTATCGGTCGGTCACGGTTATTACCCTAAAAAATGTCAAATTTTCGGTGTTTCGATTTTTTTACGGTTATTAAAGTCGATTATCGGTAATATATATATATATATATATATATATATATATATATATATATATATATATATATGTATATATATATATATATATGTGTGTGTGTGTGTGTGCGCGTGCGCGTGCGCGTGTGCGTGTGTGTGTGTGTGTGTGTGTGTGTGTGACACCCCGTAATCTAAACACTAATCGAGGATTAATTGAAGAATTAATCCAAGTTTCCTTGCTAATTCATTTCTAAAAATCCTGAAATTTGATAGTCGAAGGACTAGATTTTGACTAGTCACTTAAGTCAACAGGGTGTAACTTGTGCTTCTTGAGTTGTACCCTTGTTCCCTTGTCTTTCCAATATTAGTAAGGGTAAAAATGTGTTTTCACTTATGAATTGTGATTCAAGCTACTCTAGCAAGACATTCTCATTTCATTCATCCTTTCAACCTAAAACTCAAACACTCTAGCCTCTCTCTAAAATAATTTAGCTTCTTCTCCAAGCAAGAAAGTGAACTTCTAAGCCTTGCAAGATTTTCTACTAAGATTCCTATTTTCTCCTTCTTGAGCATAGGAAAGGGTAAGACTCTTAGCTTTTTGGTGTTTTTAACCTTCTTTTGGGTGTCTTTAACTAAAGTTAGGTTCTTTCTTGTGTTTTGGTTTGTATGAAAAGTTGGTGTGGAAGAAGAGCTCTAGGAAAAGGCTATGAAGGGTGAAAAGAAGAAGTTGGTAGCTACAAAGATAACACATGCTATACAAAACCTATTTTCACTTGATAATAA